GTGCTGCAGTGAACGTGGTTGTGCAGGTGGCCTTACTGTGTCCTACTTAGTAATCTTTTGGACAAATGCTCAAAAGTTTAACTCCTGGATCATAGGGTAGTTCTATGTTTAGTTTTTTGGAGAAAGCTTCATACTGCCTTCCAGAGAGATTGAAACAAGTTTGCATTCCCACCCACAATGTACTAGGGTTTTTGTTTTTCTTCAGCCCATATCTATGCCATTATCTGTTATTGTGTGTATTCTTGATGATTGTCATTCTAACTGGGATGAGATGGAATCTCAGTGTTGTTTCCATTTGCATTTTCTTATGGCCAGAGATGTTGGACATTTCTTCACATGCCTGCTGGGCAGTTATATTTCTTCTTCTGAGAAGTCTCTCTTTAGCTTGTTTGTCCATTTAATACTCATCAAAAACATCAAAATTTCAATATTATTCTTCACTGAGATAGAGAAAAAATCCATAAATTCATATGGAACTACAAAAGGGCTTGAATTGCAGAAACAATTTGGGGCAGAAAAAGTAGTGCTGGATATATAACAATTCAAAACTTAGAGTGATAGTAATGAAAACAGCGTGATACTAGCACAAAAATAGACCTGAGTACCAATGGAACAGAACAGACGACCCAGAAATAAGCCCGCTGATCTATAGCCATCTAATATTTGATAAGGGAGCCAAAAACATAGGCTGGAAGAGAGACAGCCTCTTCGAAAATGTTGCTGGAAAGCTGGATATCCACCTACGGAAAACTGAAACTGGAACCCTATCTGTCGTCTGGCACCAGTATCAGTGCAAAATGGATCAAAGACCTCAATGGAATACCTGAAACTGTGAAGCTGTTACAGGAAGGAGTAGGAGAAACATTAGGACTCCTCTGCAGAGGCAGGAACTTTCTTTGTAAAGATCTAGAAGCAGAGCAATTCTAAAAGAACTGATAAATGGAGTTACATCAAACAAAAAAAGTTTCTGTACTGTTAAAGACACAGTTAAAGCTAAAAAGGCAGTCGACAGAATGGGAGATCAAAGCTAATATCTAGACTATACAGAATTATAAGAATACAATTATAAGAATAGAAAAAATACAAGAAATTAGTCCTGTGATTTTTTTTCTCTTTTCTACATTATGGTCAAATACAAGATGACCATTGCTGGAAATAGCTCTCATAGGCAGCTCTTCTCCAAATCCTGTCATAGGAAGCTAAGCTATGTAATCCATCCTGTAGTTGTGCTGTGTGGAGCCTGTGGAGTTCAGGGCTGCTGTGGAAGAGAGAGGTGGGACGGTCATGCAGAGATTTTAATGATTGCACAGAAGAACCCATATCTCATAAGATGCAGTCTAGTCTCCTAGCCATCATCTAACTGGGGAGGCTGTTAAAATGTGATCTTGTTGTGCCAGGAAGGCAAAGATGAAGTGGCATTTGGTGGCTACACAACATTATTTCTGTCACAGTTCCCTTCATTGACCTGATTCTTGGCTTGTTTGCTGTGTTTTAATAGTCTTGATGTTCTCTTAAGAGATTAGAAAAAAAAATGATGTCCACAAATTCCCTTTTATCAGTCCCCACAAGTTATTAGACTCTTCAGGAGCAAATACTCAAAGGGCCAGTGCACAAAGTAGAAATGTCAATTTATGTTTGCACCCACAAATAGGTTGGAACATTCTGTTTCCAACAGGAAATTCTACTAAGGAACCTAGGGAGCAGATGTGGGGAAAAGGACGCAGAGGCATTTGCTAGGGGGATTGCCAGACAATTCCTGTTTGGCAGATTGGCATATAGAGATAAAAATCACCTGCTCCTTCTCAGCTGGTTGGGGCCAACCAGGACTGTACAATTAACCATTCAAATGTTACATTTCAGTGTTACTTGTCCATCATAAAGAACACACTATTTTGGCAATACTTGTAAACTTTTATATTTAATTAGATTACATTTCAGTTGGCATTCAAACATATTCCGGATTATTACAAATAATATTTAAGGGTGAGATGACTTATCTTGTATATTTATGCTGAATTTGCATAGTTTCAGTTTCAAAAGAGTTGATTCTTCATCCTGTTTTCCCAGAACACAGGTTGGACCTAAAATATAGCAGGCTATTGGTAATGTCTACTCACTCTTCTAATGTTGATCAGGAGTCTACTGTACACTAGACATTGATGCCATGTGCCAAGGACACCATGTTGGTGAAACAGTAGTTGCAGGTTGTGGTCAGATAGAAGGAAAGGAGGTGAATGGATCAAGAATATGTGATATATAATATAATATAATATAATATAATGTGTGTGTGTGTGTGTGTGTGTGTGTATGATGGAAATCTATGCTTCCCTCAGAAAGAATGACACCACCCCATTTGTTAGGAAATGGAAAGACTTGGAGAAAATTATATTGAGTGAAGTAAGCCAGACCTACAGAAACATAGGTCCCATGGTTTTCCTCATTTGCAATAATTAATATACATCTAAGATAATTTTATCAGATGAGCAGCAAAGCTTAAAAGCTATGTACATGTAACCATATAAGATGATGTTAAGTGAAATGAACCCCAAGAATATGGACACAAGAGGTATTCTTTATTGTTGTTTTTATTGTACTATATGAATTTTCTGTTTCCTTTGTATGTTCTTCCTCCTATGGTATATCCCCTTTTGTCACTGTACTTGATTTTTGGTACCCTGCATCTTGTATATACATTTATCTAATTTGGAGAGAAGGGGAATAACAACTGAAACAAGGGCACAGGATGACCCATTGCAACAATGATACCCACAAGACAGTATATTGGAAATGCACTTCACAATCTCAGGGCGGGGGGGAGAGTGAGGGAGGTGGGGGAAGGAAGGAATAGTGGGAGAACAACAAAGGGGTGGGGGGTAACAATGCTTGACAAGAAATGTCCTCTTTACCTTACTCATGTAACTGTAACCCCTCTGTACAGCATCTTTACAATAAAATACATTAAAAAAAGAAGGTGGAAGAGTGGAATGTCTTGTTAAGAAGGGGCAGGGCTGTGTCCACATTTCATACAGGCTCTCTGAAAAGTAGCAGCTATTTTATTTTTAAAGATTCTTAAATACAGGCGTTACTAGAAATAGGTATAGCCCTGAGTGAAAGTTCCTTAGGATAATTAAAGTGACCTTTATCAGATTTGATTGATGAATGGTTAGAAAGCCATTGTCTGCTCTTCTAATGACAAGCCTGAGTAGTAGTCCAAAATAACCTTGTTTCTAACTCCTAGACATGCTGAGGTGATTGTGTGGTTGAGCATTTTAAAAACATTGAGTCACATGTAGAGAATTACAATTAGGACATAGCTCTGGAAACCATTTGCTCTTGGAGTTGCAGCGTTCCTTGGAGAAATATTAACCAGCAACAACCCTGAACACAAAAAAGGTTCTATGCGTATTCGCAGCACTGACAGTTGATGGGAAAAGAGCAGTAAAAGCAACTCTGCACCCTGTCAGGTACCCTATGTGTATGGCATTCTATGTGTATTGCCATTATTATTTTTTAACCATTGCTTAGGTTTTTAAAAGGTAATGAATAGACATACCATAATTTAGTTTTAAATGGAGAACCATCCATTGATACACATTAAATTCACAACTTCAGTAGAGAAATACATCTAAGTAAAAGCATCTTCATTATTTCTTGATTGAAAGGCTGTCCTGGGGTGCCTCTGGGCAGCCTGCCAGATAAACCTGGGAGGATCCCCACTGACTGCTGACTAGCTCTGAGTCACCCCATTTCGTCCTGCCCAAGGAGTCAACATAGATGCATTAGTTGCAGATCTCAAAATGATGCAAAGTCACAGAGCCCTCTCATTCTTCAGTTAAATAAACAGTGCCAAGATTTCCTAAGAAGGAAATTGACTATTAGGTAAAATTACAGAAAGTATGCAGTACTGATCACTGAGTGCTGATTTCTGGGCTAAGTACTGAATGTTTATGTTTCATACTTTTGATAATCTCCATTTGACAAAGAACTATACTTCCTAGAGAGACTGGGCTAATTTTTGAACTTAATTCTGTTTTCCAAATCTTAGATTCTTTTTTTTTTTTTTTTTTTTTTTGGTCGGTCAGGGGGCTTGAATTCTAGGCCTGGGCACTGTCGCTCAGCTCTTCAGCTCAAGGCGAGTGCTGTACTGCTTGAGCCACAGCGCCACTTCCAGTTTTCTAGTGGTTTTGTTGGAGATTGAGTCTCACGGACTTTCCTTCCCTGGGTTGGCTTTGAACTGCGATCCTCAGATCTCAGCCTCCTGAGTAGCTAGGATTACAGGTGTGAGCCATCGGCGCCTGGATCCAAATCTTAGATTCTTAAACATTATTTTATTTCAGGATTTAGAAACCCTTAGCTTAAGACAAAATCTGGCTGTATTGGTTTTTGTATAGTTTTCACACTGAGGACTTTTTTCCTACATTTTTCAAATGGTTGAAAAAATCCATACAAGACTAATAGTTGATTGCACATTAAAACTGTGTAGAGTTTAAATCCAGTGTCTATAAATAAAGTTTTATTGGAAAACAGCCACAGTTCATGGTTTACAGACTGCCTATGTTTGCTTACATAGTTCAGTAGCAGAGTTGAGTGGTTGTAGGTGGCACCAGCCATGTGGCTGGAAGAGCCTAAAATATTTACTATCTGGCCTTAATTGAACGCACTTCCCAGCTCTTGTTCTATATTCTTCCTCAATGATTATAGTTGACAAAATTTCAGTTATTTAGAGCATAATTGTAGGATTTTTATAGGGCATGTCTCTATTTTGAGTTTAGTTTATCCCATTTTAATTGACATCAACTAGAGGTTGAATTGATAGTTACCTTTAAGTTGTCTATGTCTTATCTTTTTTTTTTTTTGGTGGAAATTAAGGAATGTTTTATTATCAAGCAGTGTTTGAGATTTGCAGATCACCTGTTTTTTGTACTCTTTGTGGTTTGACATGCCCCTTACTTCCATTGATTGAGCTGTTTTAAACCTCTACTGTTTTCTTTCCTTTGCAGTGGTTTGCTGTCTTCTGATTATGTGGAGATTCACTATGAAGATGGGAAGCCACAGTACTCTAAGGTATGTTAAAAGTGCTTGGAAATCGTGTAGTATAACCCTACTCGTCACAGAACTGAGCAATGCATACTACATTGTTCTCAGTAAATCACTTTGCCTCCTATACAAGGATGCTATCTACAGTGAGGAGATAAAACTTACACATTTTTGAGACAATATTAGAGATTTTATATGTTCAGGACAACAAAGGGATGTTTATTGTTTTGGTTATACATTCAATACCTTAGATACTGGTATAAGCATTACATAATTTTATATCAACATATTAAAGTATAGGTTGAATGTTTCTTATCTGAAATATTTAGAATCAGAAGTGTTTTGGATTTTGGAATTTTTGGCTTTTTAATATTTGCAGGTGAATATAAAATGAGATCTCTTGGGAAGGGGATCCAAGTTCAAACACAAAATTCATTTATGTTTCACATACAACTTACATACATAGCCTGATGGTAAATTTATACAATATTTTAAATGTGTGCATCAGACACTTTTATGGCATGGAATTCTCTACTTGGGAAAAGCTTTGGAGCATTTTGGATTTCAGGTTTTCATGTCAGAGATGTTCAAGCAGGTTCTCATAGTCATACAATTATAAGACTACATGGGTTCTTAGAATGGGTAGCTGTTCAGTGCCCAAGAAGGACAGAAGACAAGTCTTGGTAGACCAAGCTGGCTTCAAACTCACATTCCTCCAGAGATATGATATTAGGTTCAGCAATTTTTTAATTAATTAATTAATTTATGGTTCTGGGGCCTGAACCAAAGGCATTGCTCATGCTAGGCAAAGGCTCTAGCCCTGAATTACACCTCCGGCCCTTTTTCCTCTTAACCTTCACAAGGAAGATACTGAGGCAGAGAGCAGGCAGAGAACCTGCTCAAAGCCATCCAATGTGGTAAAGGTGACTGGGGTCTGATTTCTTTCACTTGGAGATTAGCTTTCCTTGTGTTCATGGAAGATCAGTGAAGGAATATGTTGGCTTTTAATTTTAGCAAGGGAGATTATTATTAAGAGTACCAACATGGTGAAGATGAAAATCTGTAGATTGGCTACAGAAAGAAACTCAGAAAGAAACTCAGATATGTTGTTGTTGTTAGAGTGCCACTGATTCTAAGCAGTGTTTGTGGGTACTGTGAGCCCAGAAGAGGACAAGGGAATAAGCAATCTGGGGAAACATCAAGAGATTTTTTTTTTTAAGAATGCTGATGAGCATCAGCCTAAAAGTAGCATCTTTCATGTATGGACCTGTTGAGTTGTATTGCAGGGAGCCTGGATTTGTTGTCTACAGCCTGTCAACATGTGTGTATAGGTGGTATTAAATCATAAACACTGCCCACAGAGCATGGAATTTCCCAGGTTTTCTAATTGTCCAATTAACAGTGGGCATATCAGTAATCTGGAGTGCATTTCAGCTATTGAATCATATGCTGCCGATGAAGCACTTTCACAGATAAATCTCAATATTTGTCAGTTGGCCTTAGGCTGCATCTTGGAGGTTGTCAAATCTCCCTAAAAGCGAATACTCTGGGAAGTGAGCTGCATTGCTATATCGAGCACGGGAATGAGAATGGCACTTCCTGGCATTTGTACAAACCCACGCTCTCAGCTGGCCAGTGCCCTGAGCACTGCGGATGCTGAGTCATGAGCCTAGAGTAGACTAGACTGCCTGAGAACTTTATAGACTCAGCAAATGGGCCACCTTTACAGCTGCAGTAACCTGATCCAAACTTCTTGCTAAGAAGTTCAATCCACTTTTTTTTTATTTTAAAAAGAAGCTGAATAGCTAATTGGTCTCCAGAGGTCATTTGAGGTCCCTAAAGGAGTCCTTATCATTAATTAGACATTCCAGGCCTCTTACGGTGTGTAACTAAAATTTACCAAAAGATATGTCAACTCTGGCAGAAGCCATTGTGTTCATTGCAGCTTGTTTTTGTTTTTGCCAGTACTGGGGCTTGTACTCAGGGCCTGGGCACTGTTCCCGAGTTTCTTTTGTTCAAGGCTAGCACTCTACAACTTGAGCAACAGTGCCACTTCCAGTTTTTTTTTAATTTTTATTTATTTTTTATTGTGAAAATACTGTACAGAGGGGTTACAATTAGATGGGCAAGATAATGAGTACATTTCTTATCAAGCATTGTAGCCTCCTCCTGTGTTTCTCCTTCCCATCCCTTCCCACACTTCCAGTTTTTTATGTTCATGTGATAATGAGGAATTGAACCCAGTGCTTCATGTATGCCAGGCAAGCACTCTACCATGAAGCCACATTTCCTACCCTGCAGCTTGTTTTCAGGTTCATTTCCTTCTGCTCATTGATGACCTATTTTCTCCAAATAACTCATATACTCAAATTTACTTGCTTCATAGATAATTAACAGTAACATCCTATTTTTCTAGTTTTTTTAAAAAATTGTTGTTGGAGACAGGGTCTTACTATGTGCCCTAGGCTAGCCTTGAACTCTTAATCTTTCTGGCTCAGCCTCCCACAATGGCATGTTCCTAGTACATACTGGTTTGTATGTACTGGTCTGTATTAGTATATACATCCATAAATCCCAAAATGATATGGAACACAAATCTGTAACAGGATGTTGAAATTCTAGTGACAATATAAATATTTTAGCATGCAGGATTTTGAAATTCTAGTGACACTATAAATATTTTAGCATGGAATTTTTAAAATAAAATTGGTGTGATATTCTTTCATATTTGTTTGTTATAACATTGAAAATATCCCATAGCTACAGACATTTAGCTTGTTCTAATCTTTCCCTACACAAACCATTCTAGGAAAGAACCTGCTAGATACATTCAGAACACATCCTCAATAATCTCTTAAGGATTAATTCTGAGAATTGGATTTTCTGGATCAATGAATTTATACATATTTTTAAGGTTTTTGATACATGTTGGTACTTTTTTGTTTTGATACATATTGATAGTTTCATTTTTTGCATAAATTCACACTCTCAATATGATTAACATTTGTGTATATACATATATGGATATGAATATATAACCATATATGTATCCATATCCATATCCATATATGTATGCATATGTATGCATGTAAATAAACACAGGGTCAGGGCACTGCTCCTGAGCTTTTTTGCTCAAGGCTAGTGCTCTACTACTTGAGCCATAACTCCACTTCAAGCTTTTTGACAGTTAATTGGAAATAAGAATCTCATAGACTTCTCTATCTGGGCTGGTTTTGAACCATAATCTTCAGATCTCAGTTCACTGAGTGGCTAAGATTATAAGCGTGGTCCACAAGCACCTGGCTACATACATATTTTTTAAATATACATATACAAGAAAACATTTTTAACCTTACAAAGATAGCCTCCCATGTTGTTTAAGAAAGCCTTTGCATCGAGTACCAGACATGAAAATTACTATGTAAAAATGACTGAACTTTTGGTTTTATGTATACATTATGCAGCCTTTCTTCCAAAGATCTCCAACTGCGCTGTTCATATAACCAGAGCAGAATGGAATCACACTTTGACTTTGGAATTCAATATAGATGCAAACACACTATTTTGGGAGTTAATTCCAAACAAAGTGACATGCATCTACACGCTGAAAAGGATTGTCTGTGTTTTTCCATTTCACCATTACCAGAGCTTTCCCTAATGCCTACTTCCAGCAAAGAAGAGATTAATGTCTTGGTTTTACTTTTACTGCATTTAAATGGGCTAAAGAGACTCCTTTGCACATAAAACAAATATAGGTACTGGAGAGGGAAAGCAATAAAGTTTATAATACAGGTGCGCGGGACCATTTGATGCATAGGGATGAACCTTTTTTTCTATCCCATGGAACTTTTATTAGAATTAATGCCTTCTGCAGTGTTTTGTACAAAGAGTACCATAAAACAACTTCGTTGATTTTATTTTACTAATTAAAAAATAACTTCCTTATTTTTCTTTTGTTTAAACAAATCTATTGGAGAATAATTTACATGCCATGAAGTAGACAATTAAATTGTTTTTAGTATATTTGGAAAATTGTTCATCCATCGACATAATTAAATTTTATTTGTTGATTAATATTTGGTGGTGCGGGGGTTTAAAGCTTGGTACCTGGTGTTTCAGTGACTGGAGCTTATAGGCAAGTGCTCTATCCCTTAAGCCATGTTTCTGAAGTCCTTAATTTTAAAACTTTTCACTGACCCTAAAGAACCAACACCACTAGCCATATGTAACCATGAATCTATTTTTTTCTTTCTTTTATGTGCTGGTCCTGGGGCTTGAATTCAGCCTGGGTACTGTCTTGGCTTTTTCACTCAAGGCTGCGTCCACCATTTGAACCACAGCTCTACTTCTAACATTTTGGTGGTTCACTGGAGTTAAAAGTCTCCCAAACTTTCCTGACCGGACTGTCATGAAATGTGGTCCTCAGATCTCAGCCTCCTGAGTACTAATCTACTTTTCTGCCTCTATATATTGCCTGTTCTGGTCATAAATGAAATCGAATCATACATAGTCTTTGTGAACTTTTTTTCTAGTTTTATTGAGGTATCATTGAAAAATACAAATTTTACATGTAAAAATTGTATATTTAAAATTGTACAACACCTCATGCATTGATACATGTATGGACTGTGCAATGATCACTATGTTTAAGATAATTCATGTACCCACTTTTTGTACTGAAAATGTTTAAGCTTTTATCCTCCTAGCACATTTGAAGTGCATAATGTGTGAAGTACAGTCCCCCGTAGTACATTCTATCTTTACAATCCAAACTTTGCACCCTCTCACCAGCATCTCTCATTTTCCCCTTACCCTCTTTCCAGGCAACCACCAGTTTGCCATTTGCTTTTATAAGTTGGATTGAGCAGTATTTGTCTCACAGTGCCTAACATTTCATTTACCATGATGTCTACCAGACACATACTAGATGGACATGGCAGGATTTCCTTCTTTTTGTGTGTATTTTCATTTTTATTATTTGTTCATCTGTGGATTGTTTTGTTGTCTTAGCCACATTGCGTAATGCT